ATAGTGAGGTACTAACAGAGGCGCGTCAATTGCTTGTTGAAAACTATTTCCAAACCCTCTCTTTGGCCCAGAGCCATTGAGAATTTCTGGAAGGGCTCCCTTCGGTTAAAGCTCTACAATTCGTAGTTTAAAACTCGTAATGGTGATTGGGTCTAAAAGTTGAACAAATTTGTACTTACAGTGACTGGGTATGAGAGAATGAGGAAAAAAATTGTTTCTTTTGAACTCTTTCCATCATAACCAACAACAATTCAGATCCTTCTCCCTCTCCCAGAGATAGGAGAGAGATAACGAGTGGCAAATGAATGTTGCACGAGTGCGAGACGAGAGTGGGTACAGTAGCAGTGGTGGTTCGATGCGGAGTGATTTGGTGGTGATAGGGTTTTCGTGGAAATGGGTTTGATGGTGGTTTAGTGGGTCGAGCTCTTCGATGGTGGTGCTACAAATGATTCCTTATGAAGATGGATCTGATGGAATTTTTTTTTTTCCTGCTTACTTGTTTTTTATGATGGGTAGTTCAGATCTTTAGGATGAATTCAAGGAACAATTTGAATTGATTCTAGATTAAATACTTAGTTATTAAAACTTTTGATTTGGTAGCTTTTTATCCAGATGGGTTCCATTCTACTGTCATTTGCAGAAAGTAACTAAAAATTAGAATATTTCATTGATGACTGTTTTTGGGGAGGTGAGATTTTGCAATTATTCTTTTATATATATATATATATATATATGATTTTTTCTTAAAATAATTTTTTCCCCATCTTGCCTCATTCCTTTTCATTTACTAACATTTCACTTTTTACTTTTAATTATTATTCAATAAATTTAATTAATTTTTATTTTTTGAGAATTGTGAACCAAGTTAGAAAAAAAATTAGGATATTGTTAAACCCATCATATATTTTGTTCTTCTCACCAACTTTTTATTTTAAATTACTAACAAACCCTTACATCTAGTTATTACGTAATCACTAACTTAATGTGTTATGGTGTATTGGTAATTTACAATAGAAAATTTGGTAGGAATAACAAAATATTTGATGGATTTAGCGATATCCAAAAAATAATATAATGGATTAGTTTTTTTATATTTTCTTTTATTATTATTCAATTTCTTTAATATTTGAAAATGGTTATCATATAACGAAGTAAACTTTCTAAAACAAAAAAGTATGTCAATAGTAAACATAAGAAATATATTAAATAAATTAATTTAATAAAAGGACTCCATTCGCTCTTAAATTGATAAAGAGACATAATTTATTTATTTATTATAGTATAGGAACCGTATTTATTATTAATTCGAGAATTAAGTAATTATTTGTTAAAAATTATAATTGTAATGAGTTATCAAAGTTTAATAGGTTGGTTACGCCAAGTTATTTCAAAGTCTCACATCTTATCTAGCAAAATTTGGCGTTGCTCGGCATTTCTCATGTTCTTACGGACTAGAACAAAATGATTGTATTGAAAGATAGCACATACACATTATTGAAAACCGACGAGCATTGCTTCATCATGCATCAATCCCCTTACACTTTTGAGATTATGCCTTTTCTACTATTATCTACTCGCATCAATCGTTTTTCTACCACCTTATTTAATCATAAATCTTCTTATGAAGTTATTTTATAGGAAGTTTCGAGTTATGATTATTTACGTGTTTTTTGGTCGCCTTTGCTATCATTGGCTACACCAATATGCCAAGAATAAATTAGAACCTCGTTCCCCTTGTTGTGTTTTTTTGCTACGATCGGATACATAAAGGGTATAAGTGCTTAATATTACATCTAATAAAATTTATATATCATGCCATGTTATTTTTTTTATGAACAAGTCTTTCCATTTAAGGATGTCAATGGAGATGTTAACTCTACTATCAAAAATCCAGTCATAACATCCCTTACCACACCAAATTCCTCAAACTTGCTCGTATGGTCTTCTTCTCCTAAAGAACATATATTTGTCTCTCTTCCAATTCCTCCAACCATTATCTAGCAAACATGTGATTAGCCCACTTCTACACAAACTTGTCCAGCCCAGCTCGCTACAACTTCAACCCGAGTTGCTAACAATCTAACCTCAATTTCTACTTCCAAATTGACCTCATAAGTTCGCCACTCCAACTTAACCCGCTACCAATCTAGCTCCAATTTCCACTTCCAAACCGACCTTATGGGCTTCTTCCATAATAAGCACATCCGACCTCTACAAGTCGCATCCATCAACCTTTAAGCCCACACATATGGGTCACAATTCCCTCCATCCACTTTCTCCTTCTTCAAAATCACACTCATCTTCTTCCTTTACCATTTCAATCCAACCGACCACAAATCACCCTCTTCGGCTATAGGTTGATCACATCACCAATCCATTACCGAGATATGATCACACATTGACGACGACCACCACCTCCCTCTCACCACATGCTCACCACACCAAAGCGAGGCACACTAAGCCCAAAACCTTCCTCGGTTCAATTTCCATTACCGAACCCACTTCTTTCATAATGGCTAGCACCCAACCTCTCGTGATGGTAAGTTATGCATGAGGAAATTGATTCTCTTCTTCCTAATGGTCCTTGGGATTTAGTGCCCCATTCCCAAGCTCCCAACATCATTGGTTGCAAATGGGTACACCAAATCAAGCAACTCGCTTAATGGTTTTGTTGATCGTTCCAAAGCCCATTTAGTGGCTAAAGGCTACCATCAATGTCATGGCCTTGATTAAGCCGACATATTTAATCCGAGTGGTGAAGCCCAATACATCCGTCTCATCCTATCCTTGTCGATCACCCACAATTGACATGTTGAGCTTAAAGGCCTTCTTACATAGGCGGTTAGATACTCCAAGTATATATGGAACAATCATAAGGCTTCATTCACCCATATCACCTAGTCCATATCTCGTGCTCTCAAACAGTCTCTCTATAGACTTAAATAGGCACCTAGAATATGGTATACAAGCCTCACCTCTCGCACTCGTTAGCCGGGATTTGTTTTTTCTAAAATCGATACTTCTCTCATGGTGTATCGTCATGGCATGGATACTATTATTTTCTTATCTATGTTGATGATCTCCTTCTTACTGGAAATAATAAAAAACTTAACAAAAAGATTATGTCGAGCCTTCAACAACAATTCTCCGTTAAGGCTCTTGGTTCTATACATTATTTTCTTGGCATAGAGGTGACTAAAAGCAAGGGAGGACTATTCCCGATCCGAATCATAGTGCATTCAAAATCTTCTTAAATAGGTAAATATGCATGATTCTGCTACATGGGCCACATTCGGTAGTTTTTGTTCAACCTATCAAGCCACCGTCGCCTTTGATAATCCGACCTTGTTTCGCAGTATTATTGGCGGGCTCCAATATCTTACACTCACGAGACCAAATGTCTCATTTACCATCAATCATGCTTCTCAATTTATGCACGCTCTAACAATAGAGCAATGGATCTCGATTAAACGCATTCTCCATTATCCGAGAGGCACTCCAACTCACAAACTATTACTTACTCACCATATCTCGACTTACACTAATGCCGATTGGAAAAGGGATATCGTTGATAGAAAAAGTACCACGGGTTTTGTAATTTTTCTTGATAGTAATCTTATCTCCTAGACATTTTGAAAATAGAAAATTGTAGCTCGTTCGTCTACTAATGCAAAGTATCGAACCTTGACGACAACAACATCGAAGTGACTTGGATTCAATCACTTTTGCATGAAATCGGGTGTCAACTAGAGAAATCTTCGATACTTTGGTGTGATAATCTTTTAGCAACCTATCTCACGACTAATCTAGTGTTTCATGCTCATTCAAAGCACTTGAAAATTGATTTCCACACTTTGTCGGGGATAAAGTCGGTAAACTAGAATTGTGTATGCACTACATTTCTACTAAAGATCAATTAGTCGATATCATAACAAATTTTTTATCATGAAAAACTTTTTATCAAAATGCAAATATTTCCACCAGAGTTAAAAAATTGACCATGCTTCCCGTAGCTCAACTTGAGGAAGAATGATAAGGATAAGAATTTGATAATGAATATATAAGGATAAGAGTTTGATATTGTAAATATTTCGAGTAACTTACTCGTAACTACAATTCTATCTCCGAAACTTTATTTAAAGAATTTAATGCAAGACAAAGATTGTGTGTGAAAATCCTTATAATTAGTTCTTAGTTTCTTCAAATTGAGATCTTTGAAAGTAATATATATATATATATATATACACATTGTGGTTTTTCTGAAATTACCATATACCATTTCAAATTTGAACGACAATCCTTTTTACTCTAGAAAAATGTCAATTAGTTTCGATTGATAGCCACATTCATGAGAAATAAAAACCCATTATTTTTGGACCCTCAAAAAAAAAAAAAAAAACCATTTCAAATTGGACTCTCAAAGGGGGCCTTAATTTAAGACTGAGACTCAGAATCCATTATTTCTATTTGGTCGACCATAATTACACGAACACAGATTGAATTTTCTCTTTTCTTTCCGATACTGAAGAAGCTTTTCCTTAAAGCAAAAACCACCCGAATCCTGACACATAATTACTGTATTTATGAAACAATTTCACTTACTCATCTCAAGTGAGGAGGGAAAAAAAGACGATCGCATGACGATCGAGTCAACCCATTTTGCCACGTGTAATAGGGGCACGTGTAGTAGGACACTAGCATGGATCGGGAAATGTGAAGATATGATAATTAGCTATAGCTACAACCGATTGAAGGTTCAAACTTATCCATGCAAGTGTATGTGTGCCAAAATGTAACCTTTATCCTTTTGATTCCATTGGATGTATCTTAGAGCAGAGTAGCATCACAACATTACGTGGCAGCCATGCTTCTCTTCCTAATCACTCAAAGCCACAAAAAATTAATCAGTGTAATAACCATATATATATATATTTGACCTCCATAGCCAATACAAACCAGTCTCTTAAAAGACTAAACTGCAAGAAACACTTACAGGAAAAATGGAAGCCAAGGCAATTGTTTCCTATGGTAGCTTCACTTCTAGCACCTCACATCGTCCAGTTCTATGTCCTCAGGAACTTAATAAGAGGTCTTTCTTTTCTTCTCTTTTTCGCCTCTTGTGACCTGACCTGTGTTTTTGTTTCTTTTTTATGGGGGATGAATTATTCTTCTGTTGCATACAGGGGTTTCTTTCTATTGTCTTTTGCAGTGAATTCTCAGAGATGTAGCATCAACATCAATCTTAAAAATTTGAGCTTTTGGTACGTCTTAATAAAAAAAAATTGTGAAAGCTAATTAAAAATAATTTAGTGGTATTCATTATTACTTACGAATTTTCTTTTTAATGTATTGTAATTTGAAGCCCAAAGGCTTCCCTAAGAGGGAATTTGGAGGCTACTGGAATTCCAACTTCAGTTCCAGTAAGAGTGGCACATGAACTTCTTCAGGCTGGACACAGATATTTGGACGTCAGGTATTGATTCTTGAAACCTTTCTGGGAGAAGTTTGTTCTCTCACTCTCTTTTTCCCCAATTTTTTAAGGAAAAAATATATATGGTCTTTATATGTCTGATTATTTATTGTTTTGATTTTGATAATTTTGTAGGACTCCTGAAGAGTATAGTGCTGGACATGCAGCAGGGGCAATTAACATTCCTTATATGTACAGAGTTGGATCAGGTTATCATTTTCTTAGTTTCATTGCAATTCGTCGGATTATTTCACAAAAAGGAGTCAATTTTTTGGCAATTTACAAATCCCATTAGGATTTGATCAAAGGAAAGCATATATTGAATGTATTCTCAGCTTTAAGGCGGCCTAGAATTGAGTGGTGTCGCAATTCAAGTAACCTTCACTGGTCCACTTTGTTTAGCTTTCTGCTCTGACCACACCTGAAATTGAATTGCTGAATGGATCATTTTCAGAAGTGAGTTTAACCTTTTGACTTGAGTTTTGACCACTTCTAAAGATTAAATTTGTGTTTGTTGAAGTTTTCAAGAGTGGTGGCCAAGATAGAGAAGCATTTTGGCTTTCAGTGCAGATCCTACATGTGGATAGGAATAAATCCAGAATCATAAGAATGACCATGGTCCCAAACAAGATATATATATATATATATATATATATATATATATTTTAAGAGGATTTTGCACTTGCATTTGCTTCACTTCTGTTTTACCTATTGTCCTTGAGACCTTACTCTACTTTTTTTCCAAAGCAGGAATGACCATAAACCCCAAATTTGTGGAGGAAGTATCAGCACATTTCAGAAAACATGATGAAATTATTGTAGTGAGTGCCTGCCTGAACCTTACAATCTTATTTATTTACCACCTGCTCCCAATCACTTGTTCTGTGTTTTTTTTTTTTTTTTTTTTGCTTCGGGTTTAAGTGTATAACTTCTGGTTTTACAGGGTTGCCAGCTTGGGAAAAGGTCTATGATGGCTGCAACTGCTCTTTTAGCTGCTGTAAGCACATCATTCTGTAAAGCTTAAATTTGGTCGATTTTCCTGTTCAATGGAGATAAACATGATTGTTTGGTAAAGTATCAAGAGTCAATGCTTGTATAAGTTTTCTTGAAGGCACCGCATGATTTGCATCATGGCTTGCATTGCTAAGTACTTCCACCTACTATCAGTATAGTTTAAGCTAGGAGATTAGCCTGTCAGTTTCGAATTAACCCACACCATAAATCTTTCATTATTGAGAAATGATGAGATTTGTTGAATTTATTTTTTATTCGAGGTTGGTCTGCATTTAGTTAAAACTCGCACAGATTGGGATCTGAAAAAGTTGTGGCTTCCTTGTTGCTAAGCTTTAGGCTTTATGAGATTCAAGGAGTTGTTCTCGGGTTCAACTTAATACAGTAATGGCCGATTTTAGTTTTCGACTTAGGCTGGCAAGCTTGCATAATGGAGCTGTGTTTGCACTTAAGATGCAAGCCTATTGTTTAGTGGTATTTCAGGGGTTCCAAATCTTTTGACCATGCAGCAGATTATACATAAAGCTTGTTAGAACTGATTAGAGCTTAATCTTTTCTGCAGGGATTTACTGCAGTGACTGACATTGCTGGTGGATTTGCTGCTTGGACACAGAATGGACTTCCAACAGAGAATTAACTTCGGTCTACAAGGCATTAGGTCGATTAATACAATAAATTTTAGATAAATGGAGAAGGTGATGCGCAGAAACCACTCACCAGTGTTGTAATAACAGCACACAACATTACAAATCCTGCTGCAAATTAAGTATAATGAACACACATGGGAAATGCTGAACTGTATGAAATGGTAAATGTTTTGAAAAATTAAAACTTCTCAGGGTTGATCAGGAAGTCCATTTCTTGTTGATTAGTTCAGTTATGCAAATTTATTTTCTGTTGATCTAAGGTCATGCAAACTTGCCTTGCAACTTACTGGTGAGTACTTATGATGTCATCCTCGTGGATGTAACGTGGCCACTTTCAAGTTGAGTAGGATACTAGGACATTGCTAGCTAATTGGCCAAATTGCTAGCTAGATCATGCCCTAAAACTGGAACGAATCATTTAATTGTATTCCAGGAAGTTAGGGAGGCCTATTAATGCTCCTTGGTCTTAGTCAATTCCTACCACTAAACCAGGGTTCAAGCTCCCAATTGCATGGAAATAGTCTCATTAATCCAACTTGCCACTACCTGTTAAAAGTGCGACTTTGTGGGCTGGGACTGTTTTATAAAAAAAAACTGTACTAGTGATAAAATGAATCCATAACATAGTCTGAAAAAAACTCTCTATGTCTATTTGCCTATGAGTATATCCCACGTTTGTGCACAATAGCAATTGGGTTTATTTATTTATGATAATAATGATAAGGATCAAAAGATAGCTCAAACCCTAAAAGCAGGGGCTGATCTGTATACAAGTTAGTGGGGTTAATTAACACATTCAACTTGTAAAATAAAAACAAGATTAAGATATATGTTTCTATATAAAATTAAAATTTTTTATCTAAATTGTTTTCACTAGGAAAATGTATCAAACTTGCAATTGAATTCCTAAAATTTAGGAATGAAAAAGAGTTTAAATAGGAAATGGTTTGAGGAAAAATAGGGATTTGGATTTTACAATACACGCATCTTTAGTATACTATACAGGAATTCCTAAAATTATTACATTAATTGTTAGACTTCTTCATTAGTAATTGTTTGTTTTCCTTTTCTTCTTTGGTACATAGAAACTAATTGTTTATATTCCATGTTGAAAATTAATGTAATATAACAAAACAACTTCAATCCTTAAAAAATAAATAATAAATAAAATTCAACTTTCTATATATGGTGTATTTAATTATTATAAATTCTTAAATTTGAAAAATATATTGTATATATTTGTATAATTCTAACCAATAAGTCTCCTTCTTCTTCTTTAGTTGAGAATGTTAAGCATTTTTGGTGTACATTTAGATTTAACAATTATGAAAATTATTTATTTATAATTCCACAAGTTTTTATTTATTTTTTCAAATAATTGAATACAAAATTTTGGTAAAAGTATTGAATATTTTGATAAAAACAAGGTATGAAATTACTTTTGAAATGTTAATTACGAGTTAATAAATGACCCCACTAAACAAATTTTCTGAATCCGCCACTGTTTAAAAGTACTTCTTTTGATAGAAATTTTCAATTGATTCCCAAAATAATCTATCACCATTAAGTTCCTAAAAATTCAGAGAATTCTCAATCCAAATCCGCTAGTGGATACCGTGTAAATTATATGCATACCATTTTGTAAAGAGCACGATATTATATTCAATAAAAAAATGTGTGGATTTTGTGTGACACTCAAATTGAGGAATTTTGAGAACTTTGAAAGCCCAATTGAGGCGCTGCTTTTGGAGACTCATTAAAATTCGGGTTGCTGTTCAAGGGCTGATTTTAGATTTTTTTTTTTTTTTTTTTTTCTTCCTCAGAAAAAACCACAGATTATGATCAAGTTTTAATAGGCATAAAAAGATATCTTTATCTGTTTGCCCACAACGTTTTTGCATTATAGGATATTATCATGACAAGAACCGAAGGAGAACGCTAGTTTTATTTTTATTTTTTTTTTAATAGAAATTCTCAATTGATTCCCAAAACAATTTTTGTCTCAATTAATTTCCTAAAGATTCAGAAATTCTGTATTGAATTCCCATCCACATGCATTAAAGGATTTGCATGGTGTCATGTTGTAAGCAAGCATGATATTTTGTTTGGGTGAGAAAATCAGAATTGAGAAATTTTGGGAACTTTGAAAACCCAATCGATACTTTTTTTTTTTTTTTTTTTTTGGGGGATGCCATTAAGATTTGTGTTACAGTTCTTTGGCTAGTTAGATTTCCTCTATTATTTATTTTTAGAAAACACAACTAATGATCAAGTTTTAACAGAATCCAGGGCAAGTTGATCAAAAAAGTTAAATTAATTTCCTTAAAGATAAACCGGCATTTGCATTATTTTTCTCTCAAATGAATGGGTTGTTAGGTGGGTCCACCATTCAGTTAGATCCTGGCCCCACATCCACCAGAAAAAATATAAAGCTAAAAGGGCGCAACCACCCTTCAATTTAAAGTTATTCAAAATTAAATCCCTAAATCTTTTTATTAGTTTTAAAGATCTTCAAACTTTTAATTTTTAAAAATTTAATCCATCTAATAATTTTCAACTACCATCTTCTCTTCTAAAGAATTCAATCATTGATATTTTAAGCTAAAATTTTAGAAACATTGAAAAAACTCAATCCATTTTATATGAAAATTCCAGAATTTTCATATATCAAAAACTATATTTGTTTATTTTTTAAAACATTAAAAATATAAAAAAAATTAGAAAATAACAGAAAATAACTCCAAAATAATCCCAAAATTTTATAAAAACTCCACATAAATTTTACTAAATAATTTCTATCATAAAACTATTTATGTGATTATTATTTTTTGAAATAAATGACAAAACTAAAACATAAACTAAATCTAAAGAAAAAAATAAAAGTTCGAGAATCTCTAAAGCCTAAAAAAATTTAGGAGACTCGCCCTTAAATGACTTAAAATTCATGGATTGTTAGACTCTTTAGTCAAAATTTATATCAACTAAAATTTATAGCTATTATTATTTGAATTTTTTTTTCCTGGATACTTTAATGCTTCAAACTCACAGAACTGTCAACAGAGCTGTTCATCCAGCCACGTTTTTTGGTTTCTGACAGACACTTCGCAAAGTAAACAAACAACCCTCCAAAATCAAGCAAACATGGTGCGCACATCTCCTATCTCTTTTTAGAAGGCTCTGAGTGAAGACAGAGATTTGGTAATGCAAACTCTTTAACTCTGGCAAGAAAAGAGAAACAACCAGGAGATGGCAAGAAAGAGAGCGCCCCGGAACTGGTTTGACAAAGTTGGGAGAAAATTTATCCGATCATCTCATAGAAACATTATTCTCAATTCCAATGCCTGCTCAAGTCCCAGTGATGAAAAAGACAGTGAGATTGCAGAAGCAGCTGGTTATGAGGTCTTACATAGCACAGCTTCACCACCTTCAAAGAGAGCACTCACCATAGAAGATATAGCAGCAATCACAATTCAAGCAAATTTCAGGGGTCACCTTGTATGTAGTATAATCCATAGCATTTTTGTTCAGTTCTATGATAACCTTTTCCTGACTTTTGTGATTTAAACATGGACAGGCAAGACGGGCGTTTCGAGCACTCCAGAGCCTGGTGAAATTGCAAGCATTAGTTCGGGGTGTGCATGTAAGGAAACAATCTCGCATAGCATTACAATGCATGCACGCACTCGTCCGGTTGCAAGTCAAGGTTCGAGCAAGGCAGCTTCTCAGCCAGTGCAGTGACAACTGATGCATCATATCTAAAGTCTAAAATGGTATCACTAAGAAATTCAAGGGGAGTATTCTAAAATTCCATACCCTGTTCAACGTTAACACAGTAATTTGAAGACTACCTTCGCATTTATTTACTTAATCTACCATGGTTGATAAATTTCTTACAGAAATAGTTGATTTTGTGTAGCATCTGCAAGTAGTATAATTATTATTTGTAACTTCTATTTAGCTTGCTTATCTATTTATGAATCATCGATGGTAGAATTGTCTAAATTATATCCACTGTCTGTCTACTATTAACACCAGGTTGGGCAACACACTAGTTGCAGTCTTTTCCCAACCTAGCTCATCATGGATCATAAATAATGCAAGCATTATAAGGCAAGTAGCATAGGAAAATAAGGCATGAAAAAACAAGGCAAAGAAGAAATTGGAACAAAAGAGAATGTGCAGAAAACTGGAATTTTTAATTAAGGGAAAAAAGACAGCTATATCTGAACTAGGGCCAAGCACTGTACAATTAACATGTATATAAAAGAAAATGAAAATGATGTTAGACAAAAAGGAGTAAAAGAAGAATGTAAAATGGGAACTGGCTAAATCGGCATGCATTATTAGCAGCATATGCTCCTTGTCAGTTAATGGTGACCCTTGGTCAGTGCTGAGAAAAAGATACTGGATGATTTATCCTTGCAGCAGTCTTCCCTCTCATCTCCAACCTGTTTCAATGAAGAAAGTTAGAATTGTTCAATGGAACTGAAGTATGATGATAGGTTGATCCTTACCTCCTTGGATATTTGCTGCAGGATATCTATTATCTGAGAAAAGTCGGGTCTTTGAGTTGGGTCTTGCTGCCAGCATCTCTCAAGCAATTCTGCAAGTTTTGGATGAGTGTGCTTGGGAATTGTGGGCCGTAGACCCTGCAGGAATGTTGGTTAAAAAATGTAAGTGCCATTTAAAAATGAGAAAAAAATTTTAGTTTTACGTTAATATGAACAAAAGAATGGATGTACCTTTTGCACCACACCTACTGCTGCTTGCAATGGGGTCAAGTATGAGTAAGGAAGCTGTGATTTCAATCATAAAATACAACAATTAATAAGAGTGATGAAATTTTTACAATTATAACTAAAAAATAGGTCAATAAAATAAATTTAAAAAACAGAACTCCCTTTCTTTTCCCCACTTAAAGACTGCAGGGCATACCTCTCCTGTTAGAAGCTCCCACATAACTATTCCGAAACTGAAAACATCTGCCTTGTGATCATATGGTTTGTGTTCAATCACCTTCATGTAGTTAAAACAAGTGTGAATAAATGCAAAAGGAAGGAAGGAAAAAAAAAAAACCAGCTCCCTGTTCCATTAGATACCAAAAACCAACGAAAAAACAAAGACAATCAAATGGTAAAATCATGGCATGCAAGATCAGATATCCCAATAACACTGCAGGGTATGACCATGTAAAAAACACACGAACAAGAAACTTAAAGTTCGCATACAAGTCAAATGTACCTCAGGAGCCATCCAGCGGTACGTTCCTGTTTCAGCTGTCATTACCCCAGACTGAGTCTGTACTCTGGCAACCCCAAAATCAGCAACCTTCACAACCTGTCAATGGAGGGTTACGGATTTTAGAACAAGCAAATCTTTTGAAAAAATTGTTCTGAAAAATGCATATTAATACATCAGACACTACAAGGATGAACAACAAACCCAAACAGTGGGCTACAAGTTCAGCATGCAAGACAAGAAAGTTTCTAAAAAGAAATTAAAGGACAATAACGAAAAAGAGAAAAGCTCTAGAATTTAAAATTCATGTAAACATGGAATAATACAACACAGGTATATGCAAGTCCAGGAACTGCTCTTACTTCATTTTCATCCATCAGAAGATTCGCAGTTTTCAGGTCCCTGTGAATTATGTTATTTTGGTGCAGATAATTCATTCCCTTCGACACATCAATCGCCACTTTGATTAAGAATGGAAGCTTAAATACACCCTTCTGTTTATGCAGAAAGTTGTATAAACTTCCTTTAGCCATGAACTCTGATAAAGCAGAAATATAACACCACAAAGTGAACATTGGTGAAGCAAATGAAAAGGCGGGGCTGAATTAAATGCATGATTGGTAACTTTTGTGTCAAACTCACATTTTTGCACTAAACATACAACTATGCAAAATCATTCCATCCACCAGCAAAATAGTTCATATCTAATTGGGGGGGGGACTCCTAAACAACATCATTATCAAATTCCGAAACATCAACTTTTTAAGGTAAGAATTCCACTGAGCAAAGATGTGAAAGATAAACTAGGATGTACCAGTCACAATGCACAAGTTTGGAGACCGGGTGCATGCACCTATGAATTGCACAACATTCTTATGCCGAACTTTCCTGCAACCAACAACAATAGCAAAAGGTTACAATTTTCACAAATATCAAGAGATACTGAGGGTTACCCCACCATAGCTCAGTGAAGAAAGTGGATCATTGCATGTAAAAGATACTGAGTTTACAAGAGAGAAGATTCAGAGAAAGTGGACAATTGCATGTAAAAAATTATTAAGGTTTACAAGGATGAGTGAGGGTTACCCCACCACAGCTCACTGGTCTTTCTATAAAACTGTTTATGAAAATTATAAATTAAGCATTAATGCTATTCTCAACAAAGTAACTTCAACGTGCATATAGAAGCTTTCTACTTGAAAAGGCATTGCAAGTGCTTCTTTCAAGATCAGAGGCATTTTCACTTAATTATTCTGTTTCAAAAAATTAAAAAGTTCTAGAAATGGTGGCAGGAGATCTTCCGAGCAAATATTTTAACAGACCACATAATATACTTCAATATGCATATATAGAAGCTTTTTTTTTTTTTTTGAAAGGCATTGCAGTTGCTTCTTTCAATATCAGAGACATTCTGTTTCAAAAAAAAAAATTGAAATGAAAGATCTAATTGAGTATATAAACGAAAAGTTTTCGAAATGGTGGCAGGAGATCTTTCGAGCATATATTCTAACAGACCTCATTATATAAACTTCCTGGGAGAACTCTCTAAGCATTTCTCCACTGACACGCTCAGGCTTGAGTACTTTGATGGCCACTTCCTGACTACAATATGTGCCTCTATACCTGAAGAGGTTAAGTGAAGTGATAAAGTGAACTGAGAACCTGCAATCAACAAAATAGCACATAATTCAAATGACATAACTCACAGAACTTACAAATCACCATATGATCCAGATGCAACTTTGTTATCAACTTTCAGTTGACTGCTGTCAATTTCCCAGACATCAGTTCCATCACTAGGTATTTGAACACAATCAGGAAGAGATTCAACCCCTGTTTTATTATGCTCGCCAACAAGAGAAACAGAAAGCTGTTTTGGAAAGCACTGCTCCTGCAGAGTATTAAAAACTATCAATAAAATAGGCCAGCTACACTGCTCCAGGTTGATCAATCACACAGCATTTCAAAATTAATGTACGAGTAGCTGATACAGCAAAAGAATTGCATTCAACTATTCTGATGCACACAAGTTAATGGTTGGTACTTAATATTGATCACAATCATGGTTGCATCCTGTGACAACTTCCACAATCTAGAATTTCCAAATGAATAATGGTTTTTTTTTTTTTTTCAAAAAATAAAGAACATAGAGAAGACACAAAGTTAAACCTTCTTTTTAGGGCATTTTATCATTTCCCTGATGGGGATTTGTCCTGAGGAATTGGATTTCAACTCTAACTAGAATGGTTAATTATTCAGATAACATGCTGCTAATATCAAGCCTATTTGAGCATTTGAGTGGACCTATACTCTGCCTGAATGGCTCTGACCAAAAACTGAAAAACAAAAAAAAAACAAGAAAACAAAAAAATTGGTGTTTCAAGTTGAAGAAGAACATAGCCAGTATTTGGTTCTGCACTCTAATATTTTAAGGACTTCCTTTAGGAACTAGTTGCTTAATCATCATGTAGAATATCAAGCAGAAGGTGTGCATCGTGAATAAAATAGCCAAGAACTACTAACACAGCATAGCAAGACTGTAAACCTAGATATACATCTTGGTTCTCCTTTAACACCTGCTCAACTATTTCACCCCAAAAGATTATCATGACCGCAAAAAGTTAACAAGGTTGGCACATACACTGGCAAAGAAATGAGGAGAAAACCATAACCTCCGTGAGCTTCATTTAACTTCGAAAGATTTTTCAGAATTAGTGGTGAAACAACAGTCAAGTAATCACTTTACAAACATAACTATTAACAATTCATACATCCTACACCCTAGAGATGGCCGATGCATGTTAATTAAAACAAAGGGCATTCCGGAAGCAAGCATTCATAAAAAGATTTCTTTTAGAAATATGCAAAACTTTAATTATGAATAAAAGAGCAGTATGAAGAAAAATTACCTTAGACTTTAGGATTTCCTTTTCTAGAGCATTTTTAAGCTCCTCTGTCTCCTAAAGTTTCCCACGTGCACAATCAAGCAGTACAGTGAGGCAATTATCTCAGTATTCAAACGAGAATAGCATAAACCAAGCATGTTGGATAAAACAATAACATTTTAAATGCATATTAGCATACAAATAAATTTACACGAGATGTGCATCTTTTACATTAGAATAGTTTAATGTCAGCCCTCGTGTCTTTCTTTATTTTTAAGCAATCAAGAATAAAAACCATGACAATAACAGGTTGATACCACAAAATAACAAAGACTTGGCTTTTCTAACCGGTGCAAAGAATAGGACCATACCTCACGAAGCCAACCATCAACAACAAAAACATCCAGAGAAAACCCATCAACTGTGGAAAAGGCATGCGCTTCTTGAATGTTTAATCCAATCTCGGCAAGCAAGGAGGTCAACTGGAAAATTATTTACCAATATCTATTATCTAGTGCAATGTGAGCAAGCACATGAGACAGAGAGAGTATACATTAAAGTTTAATGCTACAACTGATGTATATTTGGAAACAACTGCGCTCTACCAGTATGATAATGACTCCATTTCTTTCTCTGTCTTTTTCTAATACAGGCAAATGCAATCTTAGGCACTCAACAATGTATGAATGCTTCCACATGTGGGTGTGTGTGAGTTGCCATTACTATTTAGAGAATATATTATAGCTGCAGCTCTACTAGCTGAAAGCCTGAGACAATCTGAATTATTTTCACCATATTTTTCCTGAAAAGCATATATAGCATGGCACTATTAATCCAAAATTGTTCCCAATACATAGGAAATATTCTATACAGATTATAATAGTACTAGTCACCAACCTGACTAAGAAGTTTTGGCCTGTCGACTGTTGAAAAAGTGATCTCGTGCATAGGCCTACAAGATAGTCAAATGGAAAATCCTATGAGTAAACACGAATGGAAGTTAACATCATAATAAGGCTAATATCAGAAAGTTTTCCATTTTTAACTCGTTGACACCCAACAATGTTGGGGGAAGGGACAATCATTCAAAGTCCATAAAAAATCTTACCGACATAGACGCGGTGTAGAATTTACAGCACCATCTCCATCTTCAACGTGATATCTAAAGGCTTGAAATGCTTCAACATTAGGTGATGAGCCAAATGTAGGTGGTGGATGCATTCTGCAGAGGGTGAACACCATCAATCAACACAAAAACAGTACATCACTTCGATGGATATCACACAAAAACATAATGGCATACCCTTGCTTGTTTGAAAAATAAGAACTTTGTGCATCTTCTTTCATTGCTGAATCCAAACGCTCAGAATCAGTAGAATTTCCATTCAAGACAGGATACACCTGTAACACAAACAAACCACCAATCCGACTCACAAATCGTTAATTCACACCATTTAGGAAATGATGAGGCTAACCCTACAAATAATTCAAACACTCTACATTAGAAAAATAACATTATCTTGCCGTTAAATGAATACTACCAAATGGTAGGTAGTATTTGGTAATAACAAATAGCATTTGCTACTATTATTAACCTGCACGAGATGAACTTCAAAAGCCGGTCGATTAGCAGGATCTTCAGCCAACTGAAGTAATCTCTTGTGCATAAGCACATCTTCTGCTCTCTCCACATTCACATCCAACGCATATCTAAATTATTTATCACCAAAAAAGAAAAATCAACAAAATTAAAATCAAAATTCAAAGACAAATTACATAATAAAAAAAAATACACACAAAGAAGAAAACAAGTAAAGCCCAACAAGACTTCAGATTATTTATTTTATTAGAATTCAAGATCCTTCTTTTATTCACTATTTACACTACACATGCAAATAAAGAAATAAATTCGCAGGCTTAAAGGTAAAAAGCCAGGGAAAAAAAAAAGAGAAATCCTAACATTTCCTTCGCTAGTTCGCAACAACCAAACAATAAATGTTTTCTTTTTTTAAGAAAAAAAAAGATTTTAACATTTGTAATTAGCGCTAAATTAAGTAAATTACCGAGCAGGTAAGCGATTGAAATGAAGCCAGAGGTGATCGTCAAAGCCAGTAAGATTTGCTTCTTCAAAATTCGAGTGTTTAATTCGCTTCAAAACTTCGTTGTAAACTTCTAGCTTTTGCCTTTGGTGATGGTGTCGTGCTGATGGATTCGCTGTTGCAGAGTACGACTCCACTGCTCTGCTTCCACAGCTCTCTACATCGTCGTCTTCTTCAATCGCCATTAATTGAAATACCAACACCAATCCGGATCGCACACGCGGTTATGCTGGTGGTATGAAAGCTTCGATTATCAAGGTCACAGAGAGAGATTCTTTTCTCTATTTACTTATTTCAGTTTTTTTTTTTCTTTTCAGTTTAGTCTGTCACTCTAAAATTTATTTGCTGGATAAACTATAGTTTAGCTCTCGTGATTTAAAAATGTTACACTATGGTCTCTATACTTTTAATTTTCCAACATTAATACAAAATTCCAAAGAATAATATTATTCATTCCAAAATATCCATTTGGTTAAGTTTCTCATCTAATACCTATAGTATTATATGGGACATGTCAGTTTAAGTCTATCTTTTTAATAATTGATATTATTCAAGAAGTTAAATTCGTAATGATTAGCATACTTATTTTATAAATATTTTAATATAACTTTAAATTTTAAATAATAAATGAATTTTATTTCACAAACAATTATTCAAATTTATTGATGGATCTTTCTTTTTATTGGCAAGATCCTCCACTTACATTAAAAACTATAATAAATGGGATGGCATGGTTCTTAAAATAGTTAATGGAAACTAATTGTGATATTTCTTCTGTTTTTCTTTTTAATTTTTATTATCAGTGTTTTTATATTTTTTTAAAAAATTGAAGTTATTTAATGTGTCGGTTCATTAACAAGTTTTAAAATTATTTAATATGTTGGTTTTTAATAAAGGTTACTAGAGGTCACTTAGATTGTATATTCCAGTTAGTTTGTGCCATTATATTTAATTTATTAATTATTTAATTGCAGGGTTCAAGAATCTATGGTTGAGAATAGAAAAAATGGAAAGTACAAAGCTGAAATAAAATACATCTGAATCTACAAGGATTATAATGTAGTTTACACTGGTGCTTTTGCGGATTGGATTGGGGTCACACGTAAGCAAAAGGGTCCGGCAGGTTGGTGGGGTCAGTGTGTAGCCCAGCTAAAGTATCTGCCAGAGTTGGGTTTTTGAATCTGAAATATCGTAAAAAATAAAAAATTATAGTGACTGACTTTGATCGGATAAATGGAGCCAAAATCTTATTCGAAAAAGAAAATGTCTTTAGATATTTTGATGTATCCAATGGATTCTCCTCTCAAATGTTTTCTAGTGAAACTAGTTAGATGATCGTGCTACGCTAACAGTCAGATAATCGCTATATATATAAGATTAATTATTTATATTGTATATTACGGATAAAAATCTTATTTCTCACAATTAATCTAAATCAAATTTATTTGCTAAACAAAATTATTTGATTTATATATATTTATTAACAAAATAATCAATAATATTAGAATAAAAAGCTATATTTAAATAATTAAAAGATTCTTCCAAAACATTATTTAAATTATTTATTTAAAAAATATTGATTTTAGAACATAAAAAAGAATAAATAACAAATAATAAATAATTAGTGTTATATATCCAAATATATAATTAATTTCTAACAAAACTAATTATATATTTTTTAATTATTTTATTTTAAAAATATTGACTTTATAACATAAACAAGAATAAATAATAAATAATTAGTATTATGTGTGCGAGATACATAATTAATTTTTAACGAAACTGTATATATATATATATATATATGATCATACGTAGTAGATTCGAGTGTATAGTATAAATAATTTTTAAAAAAAATAGTTAAACTCGTATGGAATATATTAAAGTAAACAAATTCAAATAAAAACTATTACAAAATTGGTTTTCATAAATTTTACTTTTTAATTTATGATGACGAGATATTCTTGAATTGCTAATTAAATTATAAATTAGTTCTTCTCATTTTGAAAAATGAATTAATTAATTATTTTGGTTTCAAAAATAAATTATTTAATTTTTTTAATTAGTGTTGACAAGAATAATTTATTTTTTATTTTAAAAAATGTTTTCCTCATATTTTTACTTATTTTTTTAATTCTTTCTCTATTTCTTAAAACAAAAAATAAAACCATTGAAATAGTGAAAACGATAAAAAATTTAGTTTCGAACCGAATGGACTAATGGTGTTATGTATTCGGATACATAATTAATTTTCAACAAAACTAATAATATATATATATATATATATATATATATAGTTGATTCGAAGTATATAGTATAAATAATTTAAAAAAAAAAATCTAAGTTGTATGGAATATATTAAAGTCAATAAATTGAAATAAAAACTACTACAAAATTGATTCCCATAAATTTTACTTCTTAATTTATTATGAAAGAGATCATTGAATTACAAATTAAATTATAAATTATTTTTTCTTGTTTTGAAAAAAGCATGAATTAATTATTTTGGTTTAAAAAATAAATTATTTAATTTTTGTAATTATTGTTGACCATGAATAATTTATTTTTTATTTTAAAAAAATTTCATTTTTATATTTTTACTTGTTTTTTTTATTCTTTCTCTCGTTTCTTAAAACAAAAAATAAAAACATTGAAATAAGAAAAAGGATAAAAAAATTAGTTTTTGAACCAAAGAGACTAATGGTGTTATGTAAGCAAATACATAATTAATTTTCAATAAAACTAATAATATATATATATATATATATATATATATATATATATATATATATATATATAAACATTTAAAAAAAAACATCTAAGTTATATGGAATATATTAAAGTCAATAAATTAAAATAAAAATTACTACAAAATTGGTTTCCATAAATTTTACTTCTTTATCCATGATAAAAGAGATTCTTGAATTACAAATTAAATTATAAATTGTTTCATCTCGTTTTGAGAAATGAATTAATTAACTCTTTTGGTTTTAAAAATAATTTTTTTTTAATTAGTGTTAACCATGAATAATGTATTTTTTTTTATTTTATAAAATGTCTTCTTCTTTTTTATATTTTATTCTTTCTCTATTTCTTAAAACGAAAAATAAAAACATTGAAACGACAAAAGGACAAAAAAATTAGTTTTTGAACCATAGGGACTAATTAATTTGTTTCTCAAAGAAAGAGGGACTAATTTATATTCACTCTTGAATAGCAAGTGACTTTGGCTTTGTTGTCGAAAATAAGAAGAAAAAACCATTAAAAGAAGATAGGAGCATTAAATGCTCAATCTAAAAAAAATGACAAAAATGGCCCAAAAATAAAATTAAAAAAAAAAAGAATAAGTTAAGAGTAAAAATGAAATTTCTCAAATCCATTGAGTGTCAAAAGAGAAATTAATGAAAAAGCAAAGGGCGAAAAATCAAGCAACACAATGAATAGTGAATCTAAATCTTAAATAATAGTAAATGAATAGTAAATATCTCGGTTGTTTTAGCTTTTTCCTACTAATATATATTAAATTAAAAATAAAGGATAAAAATTTTATTTAATTTTAAAATTTTTAGTCAAATTTTGTATTTCATTCGTGCTTCTTTATGTTTTTCATATATTTTGCTTTAAAAAACATGATTCATTTTTAAATAAAAACCTACAATAATATAAATATAAATTTTTTAAAAATATCTTAATATTTTTTAGAAGGCTACATTAGAGAAATATAGCAACAATCTATAAAATTTTGTATAAAAACTAACTAATGAATATTTTTAAACTTTTTAAAATTATGTACATTTGATATATAGTCACACACACACACACACACAAAACAATCAATAATATTATGTATAAAAACATGAATTTGAATTATTATGTCGTTATCTTAAAATATTATTTTATTTAAAATAATTTAAATTTAGAATATTAAAAATAGATAATAGGAAATAGTTGGTGCCATGTGTATAAATGCAAAATTAATTTTTAATAAAATTAATGATCTCAATACTTTTTTATATACGTCATTACATCATTACTCGTACTCTATATAAATTAAAAAATATATTTAAAAAACTTAAGTTGTAAAAAAAAATATTACGGTTAATAGAATGTAATAAAAATAATTTAAAATTTTATTCCAAAAAAATTGATTATATCAAGAATAAGGTTAAAAAAAACATGAGAATTCTATTATTTATTAAAAAAACATATTAAAAATTTATACACGAGAAAAGATAAATTATATTTATTAACAAATAAAATTTTATAAAAAATAATTAATAAAATATATAATCCTATATATGTGTGTGTGTGTGTGTGTGTGTGTGTGTGTGTGTGTGTGTGTGTGTGTGTGTGTGTGTGTGTTTGTTAAAAAATTTAAAAACATAAAAGGTGAAAAACATCTTTTAAAAATATGAGGAACAAAAAATATATTTTTAAAAAATATGAGATAAAAATGAATTAAGTTAAAAACTTGAGTCGTCAAAATATTTTTAAAAATATGGGGATTTAAAAATATATTTTGAAAATATAAAGGACCAAAAAAGAATAAAGTGTAAAATTTGAAAATGAATGTCCAATAAATTATAAAAGAATTACGAAAATGTCATTGTAAAAAATACAATATTGCCACATTATGAGTAGTGAATTAAGGCAAATGAACGAGTAAATGAATGGTATTTATTGTTCATTTATCCTAATTTCTTTTAGGTGTTGTTTGGTAATCGGGAATAAAGTGATGGGAATAGGAATGCGGGAATCGAAATGAAAATTAAGGAATCGAAATGGTATTTGTATTCCAATACCGTGTTTGGAATACTAATAAAGAATCGGAATGCAATTTAAATTTTTTAATATTTGATTTTGTATACAAATTAAATAATGATTAAAAAATAATTTTATTAAACTATAATAGTTATAAAAATAATAAAGATGATGGTAGTGATTGTGGTGATCTAGTGGTGGTGGTGATGGTGGTGGCGGTAATGATTGCGATGGTGATAGTGGTCGTGATTGTGATAATGATGATTGTGGTGATGGTTGTGGTTATGATGATGTTAGTAGTGGTAGTGGTTGTGGTGATGATGGTGGTGGCGGTGGTTATGATGGTTATAATGGTGGTTGCGATGGTTGTAGTGATGGTGGTAGTGATTGTAGTTGTGATGGTGGTGGTGGGGGTGGTAATGAT